TGTTGTGTGAGTAACGGATTTCCCTAATAAATTATACTGCATTATTGGATCTTCTGTTTCCTTGAGTGTGGATCGTGACAGAAGGACTCCGTCATGCAAGGATCCAGCAGTACGGGTTTCCGAATCCGTCCCCCTACCACCAAGGAAGAAAGGAGGGGACGACTCAGTAATTTAATGGCTTTACGCCAACAGGGACAGTCGGTGGGTGGACTAGCTCAATTCTTTTGGACTCTCTCAAGAGGTATGGGTTACAATGAGGCGGCACTAAAAGACCTTTTTAATAATTGCCTTGATAACCCATTACCTCGATGTGAGATGATGGGGCTGGAGACTCTGGACTTCTGGGGGTTCACTAATTATCTGCAGAGACGTAGCCGGAGGATTATGTCAGACCGGTTTGGTTTTTCTGACAGGATGACTGAGTCCACATCAGCGTTTCCTGACGGGAGGGCGGACCCGGCACCTGTGTCTCCGGAGAGGATGGCCACCATCGAGCCAGTGTCTCCATCGGCCGCAAAGCGAGACCCTCCGCGGACCGCACCATCAGCCAGCACGGCTGCCTCCTTTGGACACGTTCGAGGGTGGAGTGGACTGGTGTCCAAGCTGGCCGATCAGCCGCTGTCATCTGTCCGAACAGCTGATAGCCTGGTAATTTCACGGATCTCAGTGGGTATCAATTCCCCAGGCCGCCAGGCCAGAGTCTCGTTCCGCCGGACTATCGTCCCGGAGGTCGTGCCCGAACAGCCCGATGTCGTCCGGGAGGCCGTCCCCCTGCCGGCCGCCGCCGAGCCTATGTCTCCGGACAAGATGGCCGCCGCTGAGCAGGAGCCAGTGTCTGTTCCCGAGCCGGAGCCGGTGTCGCCTGTTCCCGAGCCGGTGTCGCCTGTTCCCGAGCCGGAGCCGGTGTCGCCTGTTCTTGAGCCGGAGCCGGTGTCGCCTGTTCTTGAGCCGGAGCCGGTGTCGCCTGTTCTTGAGCCGGAGCCGGTGTCGCCTGTTCTTGAGCCGGAGCCGGTGTCGCCTGTTCTTGAGCCGGAGCCGGTGTCGCCTGTTCTTGAGCCGGAGCCGGTGTCGCCTGTTCTTGAGCCGGAGCCGGTGTCGCCTGTTCTTGAGCCGGAGCCGGTGTCGCCTGTTCTTGAGCCGGAGCCGGTGTCGCCTGTTCTTGAGCCGGAGCCGGTGTCGCCTGTTCTTGAGCCGGAGCCGGTGTCGCCTGTTCTTGAGCCGGAGCCGGTGTCGCCTGTTCTTGAGCCGGAGCCGGTGTCGCCTGTTCTTGAGCCGGAGCCGGTGTCGCCTGTTCTTGAGCCGGAGCCGGTGTCGCCTGTTCTTGAGCCGGAGCCGGTGTCGCCTGTTCTTGAGCCGGAGCCGGTGTCGCCTGTTCTTGAGCCGGAGCCGGTGTCGCCTGTTCTTGAGCCGGAGCCGGTGTCGCCTGTTCTTGAGCCGGAGCCGGTGTCGCCTGTTCTTGAGCCGGAGCCGGTGTCGCCTGTTCTTGAGCCGGAGCCGGTGTCGCCTGTTCTTGAGCCGGAGCCGGTGTCGCCTGTTCTTGAGCCGGAGCCGGTGTCGCCTGTTCTTGAGCCGGAGGGGTCTTCGCCGCCCTGGCCGCCCGAGGGGTCTTCGCCGCCCTGGCCGCCCGAGGGGTCTTCGCCGCCCTGGCCGCCCGAGGGGTCTTCGCCGCCCTGGCCGCCCGAGGGGTCTTCGCCGCCCTGGCCGCCCGAGGGGTCTTCGCCGCCCTGGCCGCCCGAGGGGTCTTCGCCGCCCTGGCCGCCCGAGGGGTCTTCGCCGCCCTGGCCGCCCGAGGGGTCTTCGCCGCCCTGGCCGCCCGATGGACTTTGCGTCTCGCCCTGGCCGCCCGATGGACTTTGCGTCTCGCCCTGGCCTCCCGATGGACTTTGCGTCTCGCCCTGGCCTCCCGATGAACTTTCTGTTTCCCTCTGGATGCCCGATAGACTTTTTGTTTTGCCCTGGTCCCCGGTTAAACCCTCACCCCTTGTTCCTGTCTCCCTTCATGGACCTGGCCCACCTTCCCTCCCCCTGATCCTCCACCGTTCCACCTCCCTCCTGAACCTCTTGTGTTGTGTTTTCTGTGTTTTTTTGTTGTTGTCGTGGAGCGTCTGGTAGCCGCTCCGTAGAGGGGGGGGTTATGTCACAGTGTTGGTTTATGTTCCCTGGTGTCCACTAGAGGTCCTCTGTTCACCAGGTGTCAGTCACATTCAGAACTGCATTTCCCACAATCCTTGTCTGCACTCATCACTGTTCATTGTACCCAGCTGTTCCCCATCATGGTTGTTAGTTCTGTGTGTATTTATACCCTGTCTGTTTTAGTGTTTGTTACGGAGTCCTTGTCTTTCATCACACCACGTTCTGAGGTCTGTTCATGCTGAGTTTTGTCTGTTCTTTGTTCATTGTGTTTCGGATTGCTTATATGGATTTTGACCCCTGCCTGGACTGTTGTGTGAGTAACGGATTTCCCTAATAAATTATACTGCATTATTGGATCTTCTGTTTCCTTGAGTGTGGATCGTGACAATAGTGGTTTTCCTGTATTAAGCTGAGTAGTTGTTGGGTGGATAGCCACTAGCCAGTGTTCTTCAAACAGCCTATACAAATGTCTGGACAAAATTGTTTGGGAGAAAAGAGTATTAAAGATTGTTGTGTATGACCTTCTAGATCTTAAAGGGATAGTTCACCCAAAAATGAAATAGTGCTAACAATTTTCTAACAACATAAGGGTGAGTAAATGATGACAATTTTATTTTTTTGTGAACTTTAATCCCCTTACCCCTTTAACTTAAAGGGGTCATATAATGCCATTTTTGTACAAGCTAATATGATTCTTTAGGGTCTAAATTAAAAGTTTGTAATATACTTTAATTAAAAATTCTCATTAGTATTGTAAGAAAACACTTATTTTACCTGGTCAAAAACAGCTCTGTTTTCAGCACGCCGTTTCAGTGCATATGACTTTAAATGATCATGAGCTTTGCTGACTCCGCCCCTCTGTTCTGTGCGTACACCAGAGCTCTGGCGTACACCATTTGTAACTCAATAACCATAACGCGTTGTTCAGTATAAACGTGGGATTATGAATTATATTGAGAACGTCATACATAGGAAACATGCCGTAATGTACCCTGAGTGTAAACCTTAGACGCATTCATTGTGAAGCGTGCAGCTAGCGATTTGCAAAGATTAATATATTAATATAAAGTTTAATAAAACGTTACACTCACTTCCGTTCTTCTGGAGATTCAGCAGGAACACGAATATCTGGTAGCAGCTACCGATCCATTTTTCATGAGCAGCAGCTTAGCAAATCCAGCTTTATACTGATCCTCGTCTATAAAGCAGTCTGGTGAGAAATGATTCGCGCAAACATGAACGCATTGACGTTGCTCGTGGGGAATATTCCCTTCGAAAACAAACACAGCCACTGCGTATCTTCAGCGGTTCGGATTTAGTAACATTAAAATGACTGCTGTGTTCGTTATTACACCCAAGAACAGAACACCACAATCGCTTAGACGCCATTCTGCTCATAGACAGTGCTCCAGCATATCAACAATGACCGCGCCGGTCCGCGCAGACTATGATTGACAGCTCTCTCATGGAGCTGATCTCACCCCCGAGGGCGGGTCTGTGTTGAGACGCTCCTGTCAATCAACAATCGTGGGAGGGGCTTCCGAGCGTGTGACGTCACATGGTCGAACGGCTCGATTTAAGGCAGGGGAAAACATATAAGGAGATTAAAACAAAACCACTGGATGGATTTTTATCATTATATGATGGTTGTGTACAGACACTGCCAACACACATTTCAGTACAATCAACCTGTAAAAGTGCATGCACCATTATATGACCCCTTTAAAGTTTTGTCTGTGTGACAAGTCTAGGAGACAAACAATAGATGCATTAGGACAAGCTAATTCTTTCTATTTAAACTGTCCCTTTGTTATTCTGGTTTATGGTCTCCACAATTGACCTTGATGCACATTGATATGCATGAATGTCTCACTCACAAGAGAGGCTAGTTTAATTTGAACATAAATGGTGATGTGGTGATCAACATGAAAGTCTTCAGTAAGCATACAGTACTAGGCTACACATTACATACCAAAGTCTCCCCAATAATGTCAAACAGTTACAGGATTTCACTTACCATTGAAAAACATTCCTTAGATTTAGGCCTATTATAAATTAAATAGTAGGTCTAATTAGTTTCTTCCATTGGCCCAGTCTATGAGGGAGTAAAATCATTTATGGCATCGACCAGAGATGCAAGGACCTTTACATTTCATCTATTACATTTCATTTCATTTCTATTGTATTGCTATTGTGATTACCAAACAGCACCAACAACATGATTTGTTATTGGACCAGACGGACTTGGGTCAAAGCATTGAAGAAATCGTTTCCTCTCCATATATAAATTTGGGAATCTCTGACAGTGTCTTTGTTAGACATGAAGACTTTTTTCCCCATTTAATTAAGCCGAGTGCCCACTAGGATTTTTATCATTTCCAGTTTTATGCACGCGTTGACCCCCCAAGAGTATCTCCAAAGGAATGCGCTCAGGGAAAAGCTAGACAGCGTGAAACCCCCCCCCCCCCAGCTGTATCTGAATAGGTTTCAGATTGAACTAATTAAATATTAATATAGATCACTGTGTGGAACAGAGCGTTAACGTGATCTAAACTGCCGGTCACTGTAACATAATGTTTGACAACTAGTGCAAGACAAGTAAAAAAAAAGTTTAAGATGCAGGCTAATGATCGTGCTCTTGATCTGTTATTTACAGTAGGCTATAACTTATCGATATTTTCACGAATTTCAGGAGTCGGTCATTGCCAACAGCTTATAAAGTCCTTAATCGACTGAATATGTGATTCTTATCGCAAGTAAACTATACTTCACCGTTCCGTATTGATGCAACACCCCTACGCCACACATTGGTTCAACCCACATGCGATGTTGAAGAAGCCTTGGCTGAAGTATAACGTTAATGTGTTTAGATGAAGACGGTTTCAGGTGGGCAGAACAGTTGCGTTTGACAGTAAAAAGCGAATAAATCCTGCACTTTAGTGGCATCTTCGTATTGCTATTGTGATTAAGGGTGAGTATTAAGAGCTTTATCAGACGTTTGCTGTGTGCAAAGTGTAAATAACGCTATGTTAAGTGTGCTGAATTAGCGACATTTATCGAGACACAAGCGGAATGAAATGCTTTTCATATCCATTTCAAAATAAGTGGCAAGAGGTGGTCGTCGCAAAAAAAAAAAAAATCTTATTTATGGTTGTCCTGTACTAGACGATGTAGCACTGAAAAAATCGGGTTCCTTGAAGTGAAGTGTAGACACAGCGTTTTTAATGCAGCACATTTAAAGCCTTTGGGATTTAAATGTTATGTTTTAAAGCCAGATATCAGAGAAAAAGAATGATATATTCTGTCCCCATGAACAGGAAGAGGAGCCCGTGTCGTGAAGTGACCACACGTTATTCAACGTTGCTTCATGATCGCTCTCGCTTTACTCAGACATTTAATTTGAACTTGACAGGTTGTTGAAGTGAGATGCTTTTTCAGCACTTTGTACCGAACAGGAGCTTTCAGGCGATATTGCTAGACTGGTAGGCTACGAGTCGCGCGCATTTTCATAGAAATCAGCGACTGATGTTTCATCACCCCGTGAGACCCTCATTTGGTGACAAGTGCTCAAATCAGAGAGTTTGCACTCATGCGGGGTTATATCTACATGATTTGCGTTCGTGCGCAGTATAAATATAATTTCTCTGCTACAAAAATACATACAATAGTGAGAGGTGAGATGCGTTTGAAAGATTCTTTTAATATAACAAATATAATTGGGAATTTAATTGTATCACTGTGTGTTAATTGTGCACTATTATCAAGGTTGCCTTTTTGACCCCCCAAAAAGCACTGTCCTACTACACAGAATATAATAATAGTTCTGTAGTATAATATATTAGTTCTGTTCAATGGCTGTCATAATTGCCGCCATGAAGTAGCTACTACATGGTTTATCTAAACAGCACAGACCAATCATGCGTGATTCATTTGCATAATTTTATAGTAAAAAAAATTACTAGACGGTTTGTCACTGTTTTATTGTATGTCTGTTAGGTGTAGGGAATCGCAGCACTGTGTATTTGTACAGCTACCCAAATTCCACGATTTCCATTGATCTCTTAATCATCATGTGATACTTTAAAGTCGACATAAAACAGAAGTTGTAATAGTCTTTTCTTCCGTTTTGTGATGTATATCCAAGTGAAACAGCTTATTAACAAAAAAAATGTAGGAATGTTTTTTTATCCATTGGGAATTGATTGGATCGTTGTGGTTGTTATTGCTATGATCTCATATGAGTGACAGGTTGTCCCGCCCTCACACCAGTAAACACGTCATCAAAGATGAGAAGATATGTTGTTGCAAGAGGGAGGGGAAGATATTTTGATTAAAGAGTATGAGGGAAAGTTAGTTTAAAAAAAAAAAAAACTCCGCAAAATTAAGATTTTTTCATTTTGATTTCATGTTGACATTAAGTCGCTTGTGGTTTAGCTGGTCTTCCAGGCTGACCTGCTCAAAAATGTCTTAAAACCCCCTCTAAAAACAGCAAACTGACCAGGCTAGAGGACCAGCTAAAACCATCAAATCAGCATGTTTAAGCTCTCATTTTAACAGGGTCTGATTAAGAGTGTCTGTTAATGTCATAAATGTGAATTTAATGTGATCATTGACAGTTGCTGGTCAGGCTTTAATGAAGGAAATTGACAATTCAGTGCACTTTTATTGTAAGTGAGTGAGTGAGTGATATCCAATGTAACAGGAAGTAAACATTCACAAGATAAATTGCATTGTAAAAATTTTGTCAAAATGTGATTCATGTGGTAACACCTAAATGTACTGGTTTAAGTAAAGTCAGATATATTATTTAATATGACTTTTGCAAAGTAGCATACACTGTACACTGATTGCAGAGACAACCCCCTGCAGCAGCCTGTGGTTATGTGCTGTGCTCGAGAGCACAATATTGTCAGCACAGGATTGTGATCTTGGTAACTATTCAGTTCTTGCGTTATATTAATTGGAAATGAAGCTGGTGGACTCTTAACCATTTATCTGCAGCCATTTTGGGAACCGGCTCCTTGTCTTTCTCATCAGGTCGAGAAGCTAGATGTTAACAAAAAAGGTTAAAAAAAACATTTAAGAATAAAGTTTATGCAGGTTAATTGCTTGCGTTTATCATCCTGAGAACATTGTTAAATATTGATCTAGAGTAGTGAGCAATCTATTTAAGAGTCCCTATAGAGCACAGCATATGTTTAAAACAGTATATTTGTATGCATTCTCTTTTCTCTTCCTTGCATCTTTTTCTGTTATTTAAAGGAATGGTTCACTCTAATATGAACATTTTGTCATCATCTTTTGTGTTCTACAGAAGACATGAAGTCATACAGTTTCAGAACAACATGATGGTGAGTAAATGATGACAGAATTTTCATTTTTGAGTTAACTATCCCTTTAATCTCTTACTGTCTATTTATGTCAGAACAAACTCAAACACAACAGAATACTTTTTATCCTCAGAATAGTATAGTTAAAAAAAGTAGCTAGAAACTATATTTCACTCTCGTGGGAATGGCATTAAATGACAGGTCTCTTTATCTCTAAGGATGTGTCCAGTGCCCTGGTTGATTTGCTGATGTGTAACTGTCAGGGATGATTAGTTAAACACTGCCAAGACAATATGCTGAGGGCTTTTCTTGCCACTGATTATGTGTTAGATGCATGATTAGGTGCATGTGTGTCCAATTTCATGGCGCTGGGCACAAGCTAATAAAAGAGATGGAGACGAACGATAGTAGGGACAGATTTAAAGATGACATGAAGAGTAGTTAAGATAGAGAAGGAAGATGAAAGTAGAGGAAATGATGGGTAAAAAGGAGGAATATTATCAAAAATAAGGGTAGACTATTTTTGGCCAGTCACTAAGACACTAAGACTTTTTGATGTATATCTTAGATCTTTTCCATAAATATAATTTTTTCTTTGGAGTGACTTTGTCATACGAACAGAGTAAACAGAGCTCAGCAGCACCGAGAGAAAATGAGCATGAATCTGTAATCAGTGTTCCTCTGTGCTTGTGTGTGGTAATGAGCCTGTTGAGTGTGGACATTGTGTGTTTCCTCTCTGTTCCTCCTGACAGGACAGACTCCAGACTTACTGATGATGAGCATGCTGGGTAATGAGGTGCACTATGGGCAATCAGAGGTGCGTTAATCAAGACGCAATGTCTGTTGACACCTCAGTGCCCTTCTGTCACCAATCCCATTTATTTTCTATTTTTATGCTTTGTTTGAAATGAATTAAACTAACACAAAAATCACACATGTATTATTTTGTCTGAAAAGAGACACAAAGCAATCAGAGCAGAAAACTCAGGCCTCTCATTGTTGTTAATACTGATATGACAGCTTGTAATATTCCCTGCACTGTTGTGCTGCTGACAGATATTTGATGTTTTGATTATTTTACCTATGAGCTCTCTTGACAAGCATGCTGGCCTTTGTACCCTTAATAGGGGTTTGAAAGCCAACAGAGGTTACATTTTGACACACTTAATGAAAATCAAAACCTTTTAGCTCTATAATAATGTCTACTTTTCTGTGCTTCTGGGATAAAGATGCTCTTCCTGGAGGATGGATCTTTAGCAGCTGACACTATTGCAGGAAGGTCAATATGAAGACAGGTAGTCAATTGAAGTCTCCTGTGTAATTTCAATTGCTACAAATAACTGAACTGAATCTGTTTCACAAGCACACAAGAACAAATTACCCAGAGGTGAGTAGAGTATCCAAACACTACTCAAGTAAAAGTACATGTACTTATAGAAATAATTACTCAAAGAAAAAGTAATAATCTTAATGGTTACTTGAGTAAGAGTAAAAAAGTAACCAATGAAAAATCTACTCAAGTAACTAGTTACTTCGGATCATATATATACAACAATACAATAACATGTTATTATTTAGATAGATATTTAATTTAAATGATTATATTATTATAATAATTAGATATCTGAAAAGACAGAAGAAACAAACATTATTTAGATTTATCCTTTGCTTTGTATAATAATAATGAATACAGCTACGCTCAGCTACGTACAGTTTTACGTTCAAATGCATGTAAAGGGAATCACTGAAAAGGAGAAGAAAGAGTGAAAACTCTTCACATGTGCTCGAGCTACTGAACATCTGAACATAAACAATGATCAAATGCACATTGACGGATCTTCTTCCGTCTGTTCTCCAAAATGTAATGAAATGTATATTTCTGCAGGTGTGTATATTTCTAAGCAAAGGCATTCATTTTCAAGACAAGCAGGTTGCTGCCATTGCCCAATAACCACAAGTTGTGGATTGGCGGGTGTTCATTTCATACTCAAATTGGTAGCATATTTAATGTATAAATTAAGGTATATGTCCAAAAAACTGGTAATGTCATACTTTGCAGTAGTGGTATCGTGTACTTAGTGTAATAATCTGTTTGTTGTAAAATGTATTGCCTGAATGAAATGAAATCGAATGTAGCTATAGGCTACCTGTGGAATCGTTCACAGACAGCACACGCAGATGTTCAACTAATAAAGATCTTCATCGCTGGCAAACAATAGGATGTATTTGCAGATTTGCTTTCAATTGACTGTAGGTCCACTGCCACTTCATCCAACGCTCTTGGTGTTCTTAAATTTCCTGATACGACTCAGAGTGAGAAACCGCTTCAGATGATTCAGTGCATGCAAAACTGAACAAAAACATTCAAACTGATTCGCGAACCAATTTAGACAGTTTTGCCAACTTGTTTGATCAAGTCTTTGAACAGAATCAACTCAAAAGAGTGATTCATTTGTGAATGGGGCATCGCTCGTGCTCCAGAAAATAGAGGCAGCACGCTTATAATAAACTATGCATTTCTTAACATTTATTGCATTAAAATAAAGTAACGAGAGGAACGTCGCCCAACGTAACGAAGTAAAAGTACAGTTTTTTCATTAGAAATGTACTTGAATTAAAGTAAGAGTACCCACAGTTAAAT